TTTTTTTATGCCAAAAATCATTAGGATATTAAGTAAAGATCATGTTCCATGAAGATATTTTGTAAATTTCCTACCGTAAATATATCCAAACTTAATTTTTGATTAGTAATATGCATTGCTAAGAACTTCATTTGGACAACTTTAAAGATGATTTTCTCAATATTTTGATTTTTTTGCACCCTCAGATTCCAGATTTTGTCCTATCATAACAAACCATACATCAATGGAAAGCTTATTTATTCAGCTTTCAGATGATGTATAAATCTCAATTTCGAAAAATTTACCCTTATGACTGGTTTTGTGCTCCAGGGTCACATATAATATATCATAACATAACATAATATAATTAATATAATAAAATATAATATAATAGAGCTGGAGTTCACTTGAGAATCATTCATGAAGTGTTTTTATTAACCAGACACAAATGTTATTACACAACAGTACAGATTAGTTTGAGTGAACATACTAAAAAAACAGGCTAGAAATCCCTGAAAAGAGTGGTCTTCTTCATGTTAATAAACAGGTCAGAATCTCCTGTTTAGCTAGTGATTATCAGGATGAAAGATTGCTGACTTTACTGCCCTCTACTGCTGCAGCGATTCACATTCATGCTAGTCATGGACGATGACAACAAACAGGGCCAATCTCACAAAACTGATCATATTTCATCCCAAACTCAAATAAAACAAACATCTGTTTTAGAGCCACAGATATGCATAAAAAATGTTATTAAGCAATGTTAGTATTTGTTGTACAAAATATGATTACATTAGTTTAAAACAGCATTTATTAAGTATCACTATTCAGAAAAATGAGAATTACGAAAAAGAAACACCTATTATGCATTACAGGAAATTTAGCAGAAAAATATGCCTAATTGTCATGAAAAAGTGTGATGATGCAAACAGCTCAATGTTCCTAAAATAGCCTTGACTTTCTTTAAGCAAAGATCTTTTTTTTTTTATTTATATTTTGATTTTGGGGTGAAATATGACACGTTTTCATGAGACTGACCCATCAAGACCTTCATGATGATTGATATCTTCTTGCATAGAGATCATAAAGCTCACTATATAAAAACTATGGCATATATTTCAGTACTTCAAGAGACTCAGTCGTCCAAGGCATTTCAGATTTCAGAGATGAAGAACAGATTGTAGTTTTGGTTGCGAGTGACAGCACAGATTTGGCATCAGGTACTGAAGACACTGTACAAAATATAGCTTCTCTAGATATCATGCATAGTCTGAATAGATAGCAAAATAAAACTAATAATGAACTGTATTATAGTAATACTTTTTCTATGGCACAAATGAAATCCTATTTTTGGCTGTGAAATTAATAAAGCTGTAAAGAGAGATTACGGTATTAGTTAACATGACACTAGTGATATTATTTGACACATTGATATACGAGCGTGATTAATATGATGACGTCACATATCCAGTCGTCATGGTAACGCATCGGACTTCCTGGTTCTTCAGTCACTTCCTCCGCACAGCTTCAGGAGCAGTTTCTTGTAATCACCAGAGGTGTCTCCCTGAAGATTTGAGAAAAATAATATGCTAAAAAAATATTCAGAACAGTCACAATTCTATTTCTAGCTACAGAAGCATAAATAAACTCTCAAATGTATTACTTAATTAAGCTTTAAAAATTACTTATATATATACATATATAAAAAAAATAGAAACTGTTAAAATAATATGTATTTTAGCATTGCATATGCATGTTATAGTTTGCTTTTTTAAGCAGAAGAACCTCACATGTGTTATTTAGCAGCAGCACTCATGCATACACAAAAATCTGTGGTCTGCAGCTGAATCAGTAGGTGACACAAATTTCCCACAGCCACATATTGTGTGTGTTGTACATATGTGAATAAAGCATAAGAATCGTGCAGTGTATTGTACATGTGTGTGTGAGACGTACAGAGATGGCAGTGTAGAGCGACTTCCCGTACAGCCGCAGATACTCCTGCCTGATATCCAGCATGTCCACCTCAGAGCGGGACACCATGATGCGGATCAGAGTCCGGTCTTTGGTTCCTGCACCCTAAATAAAGGTGAACATCAACAGGTCATGCATGCATATTGACCCACAGTGGGATTTTACTAACATGCATGCATACATATAATGTTCAGAAAACAAGCCTCATGCAGCTCAGTGCTGGAGCGTACATAAAAATAACCCACTTCTAACCATCAGACCTGCTTCTGAATGACAAAACCATAGCAAAACAACCACATAACCGCACATTCTCTACCTGCATGGCTTTGTGGAGACGTTCAGCAAAGTAGGCAGGAGTGTTTTTAATGCACTTCACTGAAAAATACACAGATGGAACATGATTAGAAACTATACACATTACTTCGTATTACAGAAAGAGGAATAGTTTATTGAGATTATTACTAACACATTTAATCAGTTGCAGAATACAATTTTGTATCATAATCATGTTGCAATATTTTAAGTAATACGCCTTTCATTTTAAAATGTTTAAAGAGGAAACATATGATAAACTTTGGCTACAAACATTCACATAAATCAAAGACACTGTAGAAGTGCAACAAAAGTGTACTAGGAATATGCATTTAATACCGTTGTTTTGTGTTACAAGTTTTCTTAAATGTTATGATTAAATATGCAAATTACCCATTATCTAATTAAATAAATCTGAACATTGGATAAAGCCAGGTTCAAAATATTTTTTTATTTTGTTGACAGATTAGAGTTAAAGGTTTTTACAGAGAGGATTTTGGATTTCTCTTTTTATAACTCAGAAAATACTGTCAACAGCCAGGAAAAATACACTTTCACCATGCTTTTTTGGAGTAAAATGCTATATAAACCAGATCAAACGATATATGAACAAACCCCAGAGTAAAAACCTTTAGAACATAAACAGGAATAAAACTGCTAAGTTTGGTGTGTGTAGGTGCTGCTGAAGTGGAGAAAAAACTTTTAAAGATATGGTTTGTAGTTGAAATCTACAGACACAAATAGATAAAGTAATAATAAAATCCAGCCAATCATATATGAACAAATCCTTCAGTAAAAACCTTCATAATACAGAAAGGAATAAAAATGTAAGTTTTGGTGTATGTATGTGCTGCTGAAGTGGAGAAAAAACTCTTTTTGAGAAAACCTCCTTTAAAGAAATGTATTGTAAATGAAATCTAAAGCCAAAAACAGATAAAATTAAATAATAAATCAGTCCAATGATATATGAACAAACCCCTCAGTAAAAACCTTCAGAATATAGACAGGAATAAAACTGCTAAGTTTGGTGTTTGTAAGTGCTGCTGAAGTGGAGGAAAAACTTTTAGAGATATGTATTATAATTGAAATCTACAGATGCAAATAGTTAAAAGTGCAATAAAACAAACACACAAATGTGTATTTTGGATGTTTTCCTTTCACTAGTCTAAAAAAACTCAAAACAGCCCAAAATCTTAGAATTGAGACCTGTGCATGAAAAAAACAATGGTTTTGCCTATTTTATCATGTTTGCATATGCAAAACATTTAAGCGTTTTACTCATCATAACCTCCAATCTGCATCTTATTCCAAACTGATTCTATTCCAGTGCTGTAATTGGCTGTTTCTCGTCACTGCCTGCTTCATCTAAATCAGCTATTGGCTGACGTTTCTGCTCTGGACCAATCAGAGCTCAGTACCCACCCACTGCCACCATTCCAGACTCCACGTTTCCAGACATCTCACCGCAGATGCTCTTCTCAATGTCTTTGCCGCACATCTGCTGGTACTCATGAAACACTGCGAAAGACACCATGCACAAACGTTACTGACAATCTGTACAAATCTGGTGTAATGCATCATTAAATCTTGCATTATCAGTGAATAGGGTTGCAAAAAGGTGGAACATTTCCAGTAAATTTCGGAAACATTCCAGAAATTTTGGAAACTTTCCAGGATTTTTTGGAATATTGCAGGGATTTTTGGAAAGTTTCCGGAAATTTTACACCCCTTTGCAACCCTATCAGTGAATAATTATTTTATATTCAGTCTGTTCCTTACACAAAACTACTGTATCATACGACTTCTAATATAGTGCATAAGTCGGATGCACTGTTATGATATTTAAGCATTTATTTGTGCTTTTTAGAGCTTGACGGCTGCATTCACCATGAAATGTTTAGTGTTAGAAATAACAGGTTTGGAATTTCATTTTTGGCAATGATGGTCTAAGAAAGAGCAAATAAAGCAGAGGAAATAACTGAAAACAGCAACAGCAGTTGAGGATGTTTCATCTGATTTAGGGAACTCAAATGAATAAATCTCTTCCTAGTTGACTGCTTTTGAACAGATTGTCCTAGTTAGGGAAATAACAGCAGTTCCTGTGTATTTCTGTGGCCATTTAAGCGCAGTGGGCTGGTGGGTTTTTACCTTGTCTCAGATGAGGTTTACTGCGAGCGCACAGAATCGCATTAAACTGAGACTCGTCCGTGCCGACTTTATTCTCTCCTGCAGCGTGGAGTTTCTGCAACACAGAAAACATCACACAAATGCATGCAGGTGGACGACAGCAGCCTAAAATGCACATTTACATCAAAATGTGAATTTGTTTAAGCAAATAAAGTCTTCAACCTGAGCATCCTGTTTGGCCATCGAAATATCCACAGTCTCTTTCTCATCTCGATTACCCTGAAAACAAGGCGATGCAAAGAATTTTATCTATATAGTTCTGATTTCACTTCCAGTTTTCAAAGGAAAATCGATATTTTTTTGTGTTCAATTGCAGCAGTTGTTATTGTTTTTGTTAAAAATTTCATTCGTCCCTTTTATTTAAAAAAATAATATATGTATACTATAACACTATATAAATAATACTAAAATAGCACTGATCTGCAGCAAATGTCAAATATGTATTCATAAGATTACAATGTTTTACAAGTCATTTATTTCTGCTTAAAATGAAATGAAATTCAATTCAATTAAACCATCATCCAAGAGGTTTTGAAATCAAATCTTTTACAAATCTGAAAAAATGTCTGCAAGTTTGATTTACAAGAAACTATTTGTTTTGTATTTTTCTTGTTATTGTTCATATTTTAAAAAATATGGCTTAAAACCTTGTGATTAATGATCCTCAATGCATCAAATGCCCAACAAGAGTAATATGTAAGATATAATGAAAGATCCAAAGCTGACTGAGTGTCTGTACCTGAGACAGAGAGACGAGCAGACGGCGAAAGTGTCCAGACGTGTCTCCGCTGATGGCATCCTCCAGAGATTTACCGTACTCTAGACAACAAACACTCATCTGAAGCAGTTTCTCATAAACCTCTACTAACTAAACACGTGATCGGAGATCTTCAGTAGGTTTGTGAACACAGACTCACCTGCTTTATAGATCTTAGTAATCTCACGAATCTCAGCATTGCTACGAGAGGACAGAATCTCTATGAGACAGGCCTCATCGGTTCCTGCACCCTGAAAATGCCAGCAAAGCACTAATTACAAATACAAATCTCAATTTTCAATCATCTGAAAAGTGCTGTGACTTAAATTCCAAATCAACTTATATAATGCAATTAACGTCAAGCACACAAAACATTTGGATTGGTGTCCCGAATGGGAGAAGTACGTGAGGCACATTTCACACACCCTCATGCAATTTAAAATAAATGTTGTTTATAATGAATGACACTATACTTTGTTTATATCTTTCATTCCTCTTGTCATCTGAAAACTGTTAAACCTAAATGATTTGTTGTGGAGTGAGAGGAACTAAAGTAATGTACATTTATGTTTGGTTTTAAAAACATTTGTTTGTAAACTTCTTCATTTACTGCTATTTTACATTATTTCTGAATGTAATAATAAAATGTGACTTTTAGCCTACACCGATATGACTTAACACGTGTTTTTTGCTCTCAACAATACAATTTTGACCAGCTGTGACTTAAGAGACATGTTTTTAACAATGTATTTTATGTGTGTATTTTACATATTTTCTGATAACCTTGATTCCCTGCTCAGGTTTTTATGCAGAATCAAGATACATGATTTAAAAGTTATAATCATTGTTTATTCACTAAAAACGTTATACTATTAAGCATCCTCACAGTCACAGCCTGCTATTTAAGAAAGCTGTTTCTGCCACAATCTAATAAAATTAAAAAGGTAATTGCAACCTTTTATCTCACAATTAAATTTTTTTCTCATTATGAAAAAAAGTCAGAATTGCGAATTATAAACTCAGAATTGCAAGATATAATCTCAAAATGTGACTTTTTATCTGAATTCTGAGTTTGTCTCACTTTTTTAAAATTTATAATTATAGATAATAGATAATTGTGGCTTTTAATCTCTTTTAAAAATCTTTTTTCTCACAATTTAGAGTTTATATCTCACAATTCTCATTTTAATTATCAGAATTGCAAGTTTATGTCTCACAATTCTGAGTTTATATCACGCAATTCTGAGGAAAAAAAGTCTGAATTGTGAGAGAAAATTTTGCAATTACCTTTTTTATTTTTTATTCTGTAGCAAAAAAACTGAATTGCAAGATGCACACTCGTAATTCAGAGAAACAAAGTCCGAGTCTTGTTAAGAAACTGAGAATTCTCCAGGAAAAAAAGTCAGAATTGTGAGATAAAAAGTCACAATTACCTTTATTATCTTTTTATCCCGTGGCAGAAACAAGCTTCCAAATATATTTAGTTTTCAGTCACTCAATCATCAGGATTCTTTCATGTTTTCAGCATATTTTTCCAGTGCGGGATGATAATCACAGACTCAGAGCGCGTCATTCATTCCAGTCTGGCAGTATTTCTGCTCTCGACTCTGTAATTATGTATCTGTGTTTCCTTAATGAGCGCAGCAGCATATGAGATTAAGCGAAAGCACGCTTGGTTTGTTTCCCTGCATACTACACTGAGATGCTCAGCTTTTATTAGCATTGCATGTACGAATGTAGATGCAAGGCAGCTTGCTAGGATTTGGAAAAGAGATGTTTAAACAATTGACCGATATATCTAGTGGATTTGCACATATTTTCCTGAAAAATGAAGGGAAAGAAAGTAAATCTCACCGATATGGCCTCCCTGAGTTCAGAGGCATCGAAGTGCGCAGGAGCCTTCAGCATGGCCAGCACCAGACTTTCAAAGTTTCCTCTCAGCTCCGACTTCAGGTCGCTAACCAGATCCTGCAAAGCATTTTAAACGCAAAGTTATACGTAAGAAACCACAACACAGTCTTTCACATCATTAGGTATTTGATGCTTCATTCCTCATATGTTCACCTTGCCGTAAGTGGTTTTATACGCCGCCTTCAACGGCACGCGCTGCTTGTTGGATCGACTGCCGAGAAGCTCAATAATGGCGTTTTCATCGGTTCCTGCGAGCAAAACACATTCAGCTCTCTGTATTTTAAGACATGTGAACGTACAGTATACAAAACATTTTTTGTGGTTCAAATAAACGGAAATAATTTTGGGTGAATTTCTTCTCACCGAAGCCCTTCATGGCTTTCCGTAACACCTCGACGTCTCTGAGCGGATCGGCGCCAGGAAAGTCCTTGATGGTACCGCGGTAACCCTTCTAAACATAAACAACACAACAAACATCAGGAAACACTTCCAATCAGTCACATATTACAATGTTACAATGGGATTTTACATTTCTATTTTTATTATATATTTTATAAATTGTAAATACATTTAAAAAATGCAATTATTTATTATGTATATATAAACACACACATACAGTATATATTTTGAGAATATTACATGTATTTACATGTATATATTTATATTCATATTTATATTATATATAAATTTATTTAATATATGAACATAACATTTTTTTTCTTAAATATATACATGCATGTGTGTGTATTTATATATACATAATAAATATACACAGAGTACACACACAACATATATTCTGAAAACAAAAACTTTTATTTTGGATGCGATTAATCGTTTGACAGCACTATTTGTAATACATTAATCAGAAAGTAATTGCATAAAAATGTATTATATACAGTATAATTAGTCAAATATATCCAATATATCTATACATAAAATTGTGTAAGTGTGTGTGTGTGTGAAGTAAATGGATTGTGAAAGCTATTTCACATTCGCTTCAAATATACAATACAACCGAAAACGGTTGTATTGTAAAAATACATTCAGCATGTCCAGTTTCCTGTTTCAACAGGAAGTTATCAAACCACTGAGGTCAAGTGTTGTTATTTCCTGTTTTCTTTTATGTCTCTCTTGTTCTACCTGCCCTGGACTACAGCTGAGACATAGTGGTTAGCTGGGCAGATTAATGTATTAAAGTCAAGGTTTCCACACTGTCTGACCAATGCATTTCCTTGACAGTTTGTTCTTGGATTACTGGATAAGGTTTCATTTTGACTATACACATAAGAGCGATTCTAGATGGTGAAAGTTTGTAATTTCAGGTCAGTGACCATGTTAATCTAAACCAAACAAAAGCTCCTAGTGGCTGATGAAGCTGACAGTGTCTCACATTGACAGCAGGAGCGGCCGGTGGTGTCGGTCCGGTCGGGACGCCCCCTCCGTACCCGGGCATTGACGGGTTTGGAGCACCTGGGTACACTGGCATGGGCTGCTGTCCCGGCGCTGGGACCCCGGGGTAACCCTGAGGCATTCCTCCACCCGGCTGCACAGAGCACAGGACATTTATAAGACGAGTCACATGATGCACACTTCAGTAGTAGAGCTTAATCGATCTAATTCTGTAGTGCATTTAAAAATACATCACACAACTGATTATGCACAATAAAAGAGGCAGAAATAAAGGGATTCTTACAGCTCCAAAGCCGGGTTGGGCGCCCCATCCACCTGCTAACAACACAAATAACTCGTATAACAATACAGAAACACAGAAAATCAAAGCACAACAAACAACACAAAGAATTATGCAACTATATCTTTTTTTTTTATTACACATGATGCATGAAAAACAGAAACGGATGCATTTGAAAATAAACACTTTTAGGGCTATATTAAATCCATTTGATTTTTTCTGTTAGATTTTTCCTTAAAAAAATTCTTAGCTTTCTGTTTTAGTTTTTCTGTATTCTGTTTTCAAGTTTTGATAAAATTTTAATAATCAAAAAGGATGTCTAAGCAATCAAATTAAAACTTTTTTTAACAATTTTAACATTAACTATGAAATGTGGTTTATTTCTTTAAGAAATTCTGTGTGGTCTGTTTTAATTTTTATGTATTCTGTGTATTATGATTTAATGCAAATATTATTATCAAAATAGGCAGAAATCAAATAAATTATTAAAACTTAATAAAAATATATTTTTTATTAAGAATAAAAAATGAAATAAGACAATGTAATCAACTGAAATTTTAAAAATTCTTTTTTAGAACTGTTTAAATTAAAACGTGTGAAAATGTAAAATAAACAGTGTTGTTGTTGTTATTATTACTTTGAAAAGTACATTCTACAGTACAGTACATTTCGTTTTAATGACAGGATGCGGAGGTTTTCTGCAGCACAGAAATTTTAATACCAGCTATTATAGTCTATTTTTACCAGCATGCAAACAGATTCACTGTCAATTGTCAAATTAGTGAGAAGAAATGTGCTCTTATTAATATATGTAAAAAATTATATACACATGTACACACACATATATATATATATATATAAATTAAAAATACAATATATTTAATTTTTGAAAAAATGATGCATCATAAATGGGAACTGATGCATTCAAACTGCATAGACAAAGATTTTCCCCTCCAATCTTATTTTTTACAAGCATGCAAACTGACATTAGAACTCATTAGAACACAATATGACTCATTTTTAATTGCCAATACATCCCATTAGTGTTTAGTTTTTCAGAAGCTGTGGTCAGTTGTGATTGTGAAGCCCATTAATAACATCAGAGCATCAGAAACACACACTACGACCAACAACAATCCCATGATGCTCCTGCGTGCAGAGCTCAGACTAACCGCACTGACCTGCAGGGGGCATGTTGGGGTAGGTCCCGGGCTGGGCGGCGGGGTAACCTCCTGCCTGGGGCGGGAAGCCTCCTCCCGGGGCAGCTGGGTAACCGCCAGCCTGAGGAGGGTAACCGCCGGCCTGGGGGGCGTAGCCGCCGGCCTGGGGAGGGTATCCGCCGGCCTGAGGGGGGTATCCTGCTCCGGGGGGAAACGCGCCGGGCTGAGGGGTGTAGTATCCGCCCTGGGGAGGGTAGGCTCCCGGTTGGGGTGGATATCCGCCCGGGGCCTGCTGATACGGGCCGGAGGCAGGCGGGTAACTTCCACCTGCAGGAGGGTATCCGGGGTAACTCATCTCTGACACCTGCACACATCAGGGCATTTACATGCTTATATATGACCTTGGAGCACAAAAGCAGTCATGAGTAGCACAGGTGTATTTGCAGCATATTAAATTATTATTTATATATTTATTTAATATGTTGCACTAGCATTGTATGATTATTTTTAGTCCTCTTTTCCTTGCAAAAGTCTTATTAATATCTTTTTAAGACAGTTTTTATAGTGCTGAGTCCCATTTTTATAATCTTGCTTAGGACCACACAAATGCTCGGGCCGGCCCTGTCTGTACACACATCTTAACCCAGAAGACATTAGCATGATAAGGAATCTTTAAAGCCTTTGAGGAGTGAACATTTCATCATTGCAATCCCACACCCAATGTGTACATACCACTGACCAAACAATACATATATGTGTGTGTGTGTGAGAGACTTCAGTATGCATAGTATTTAGATAATATAGCTAATTTAATGCTATAATAAACACAAATGTGACCCTGGACCACAAAATGTATTATATTTGTATATTTGTACAATACATTGTATGGGTCAAAATTATTGATTTTTCTTTTATGCCAAAAATCAAAAAGATCATGTTCCATGAAGATATTTTGTAAATTTCCTACAGTAAATATATCAAAACTTAATTTTTGATTAGTAATATGCATTGCTAAGAACTTCATTTGGACAATTTAAAGGTGATTTTCTCAATAGTTTGATTCTTTTGCACCCTCAGATTCCAGATTTTCATAATAGTCCGTGTCTCATATCATTTCATCTTTGTTTAATTCATTCACTTTGGTTGACATCCCCGAAAATGTTCTGTTTTTTTGCATAAGACAACTTGTAAGAGTGTTTTTCCTTCCAAAAAATGTCATGGTTTATCAATGTACAAAAGTCATGGTTTATCAATGTACAAAAGTCATGGTTTATTAATGTACAAAAGTAAAATTAACACAATAAACACAATTAATTAGACAAAGATCTGCTTTCTCTTGCTCTCTCAATATTAAGATTTTTTGATCTTAATTTTTTTATCCCTCATTTTTGTACCTGATTTGCAGCAATTGCACATTTCGTTTGTTTCCACAAAAACTGCTGTAACTTTTGCATAGTTCTGCCATAATATAATTATAGAAAAATATATTTAATATGTTACACACTACATAATATTTTTTTTTAAATAAGTACAAATGTTTAAAATGAAAAAAATATATTTATTTTGACAATTTTTACAGTGATGAGGTACATTTTAATAACCTATTCAGATATATTTATAGTTGTTTATTTTTATCCCTCAGGAGTGAACATTTCATCATTGCAATCCCACACCCAATGTGTACATACCACTGACCAAACAATACATATATGTGTGTGTGTGAGAGAGAGAGAGTGTGAGTGTGAGTGTGTGTGTGTGTGTGTGTGTGTGTGTGTCGGCGGCAGGTTTATCAAGTGTGTTCTGCTTATATAGGCCAAAGGTTAACAAAAGACTAAAATAAGTTTGAACTTTAATATCTGATTTTCATTTACAGTAGCATATAAGCACTTACTGGTCTAAAGCTGCTTAGCTTTAAACTTATAAATTAGACATCCCACTTAATAAAATCAGTGAAAATCACACATTCTTCATCTCTCAATCATCACTGTATTGCATTGCATTAGAAAAAAATATATTTATTTTGACAATTTTTACAGTGATGAGGTACATTTTAATAACCTATTCAGATATATTTATAGTTGTTTATTTTTATCCCTCATTGCTGTACAGTGATTTGCATTTTTGTTTTATAGTTTTACACCATTTTATCTTTTGCACATAGAACTTATAAATTAGACATCCCACTTAATAAAATCAGTGAAAATCACACATTCTTCATCTCTCAATCATCACTGTATTGCATTGCATTATATGTTTTGATCATTTAAATCTCATCATATACTTGGAGATACAGAGTTACGACTGATATGTATATAATTTTATGTAAGTATCTGCTACATTGGTAAAAAGATTTCATTGATTTACATTACAAGCATCAGAATTTTGGTCGTATAAATATATCAGCATCTGCACCAAATTGCATATTTTTGCTCAGTTTGAGTCTGAATGAAATTGAGTTGTTTTTCCTCCATATTCTCACTATATCAGACTATATGAGCCATAAAAACCTGATGGATCAAATATGATACTTGATACAAATAAGCTAAAACACATATGCAAACATTTTTATATATATCTAGGCTAAATGTTCAATAAACTGTTAAAAAAAAACTATTATTTCATATGTCAGTGTTAAAACACCTTCCTCCATTAGAATCTTTAAATAAATGGTGCACAAACTTTTTCCAACAAAGATATTTAGATAAATACTAGTCAGTGGGAAGTCAACAGTTTGTTTACTAATTCATACAGGTTTGGATCTACTTGATTAAATGATAACAGAAGTCTCATTTTTGGGGTAACTATCCCTTTAAAGGTTCACTAACTTTCTAGCGTGACTGCATGCTGCTGGGGAAAGTTAAACCACAAAATAAACCAGCTTGTGAGGACCGTAAATGACGCTTGAGTGTATATAAAGTTAAAAGTGCAGACAGATATTGAGGGGCCAGACCATGCAGTGCCTTATATGTGAGCATATACTTGAGCGTACTTTTAAAAGTAATGCATTACAATATTGCGTTACTCCCTTAAAAAAGTAACTAATTGCGTTACTTATGGAAAGTAATGCGTTACGTTACTTTTGCGTTATTTTTCAAATCTGGGCTGGGCTATCTTGTTTGTTTTTAATATATAAAGTTCTATTTTTGGTAAATGTAAAAGCCATTTCACACCAAAAAGAGAAATGAATAAACCTCAGGAAAAGTAAATTCACGTCTGTACAGCAGAATGCAGAAGAAAGTTTCACACTCTTCAGCAATAAAAAAATGAAGCACAAATGTTAGTTTATCTAAAGTATTTTTTGCTTATTAGTATGATTTAATTTGATAATCGAAGCTCAGCAGCAAAGACATTGGTTATTAACCATTTAAGTAGCAGATTTGCATCATATTCTGAGTTTGCATTTCACTGTTCTTTATTCATCTGGAGGAATGCTGAATCTGTTTTTGTGCAGGTGAGATGAGTAAATGCATGTTCATATTTAGTCTAGAACTAACCGTACACAGGGCACACAATGCATGCCTCTGTAGCCTACTTACTCCAGATTTCTCTCAACATGAGAGCTGTGAGTGAATAAATGGGAAAACAAAGTAACTGGCGTCACTTGTTTGAAAAAGTAACTCAGATATTTTCTTGTAAATGAAAAAGCAATGCGTTACTTTACTAGTTACTTGAAAAAGTAATCTGATTACGTAACTCGCGTTACCCCCAACACACTGGCTGCTAGTGAGCTGTGGTTTAATTCTGCATCAGTGTTGCCAGATTGGGCGCGGGTTCCCACCCAATTGGGCTTCTTTTTTTTGGTAACGTCAGGCCGGGGAAAAAATGCGTTGGGCAGGTTGATAAAATTTGGGCTGCTTTTTTTGATACAACTGGTCGGTGTTTCAGTTTCCGCACATGTAAGGTGGGAAATTCCCGTAAATATTTTAGCGTTAAAGACGCTCGGGACAGATGACGGAATGTATCACTTGCGCGTGCTTTTGAGTCTAACAATTTTAAACTGTGAGACTCCTTTCTGTGCGTTCACACCGCCGCCGTCGAGAGCATCAAAGTGGCCGGATGTCATTCATTTTCAATGTGAGCCGGCGTCGAGCAGCGGCGCGGCGTGACTTGGATGTTGAGGGCGTCGAGGAGAGTTGAAATCAGGTCAACTTTATGGTAATGAGCTATGACGCGGTTCGGCGGCAACCAATCGGAACGTAGAAGTCCACCGCTTGAGAGGATTCCAGAAAACGCAGTCCTGTAAACTTTGGTTCCGACCACATTAGTTCCCAAGCAAAATAGAGGAGAGGTTGATTATTGCTGTGGTGGGTTTCCCGATAATCTAGACGTGTCCCTGTTTGCGTACAGGGACATAAATTTAAAAAAATTATGCGTGGACCAAGGTGTCTGAGATTGTTGGTGTTCCTGGTGCATTTGTTGCTGATGTGCATTAACGTTATAGGAATAATAACCTTTAAATCAATTTTCCTGATTATACTTACATTAAGTAATGTTTATACCTGATTATACTTACTTTACAGGACTTTTACTTGTATCAGAGTATTTTTACAGTGTGGTATTAGTGCTTTATACGCACAGTTTCTGCGAGCTCACACCCAAAGCGCATGGCAGACTAACCAGTGTTGTTTTAAAGTTAAATAGATTATTCAGTTTTTGTGGTACTTCTGTACCTGAATATTATTGTTATACCTACCTGAAAAACTTAAAGCACCGTTCATTTTATTTGTATCTTGTTATTGTATTTGTTTGTGCCATTGCTTGTCATTTATCTATTCTTATTTTATTACTGACTGTTTACTTGTCTTTTTTAGTTCAAATTATTTCAATTCAGAGTTTGAAATCAAAGTTCTTTTTAAGTATGTTCCTCACAACATAAATATGAATCAACAACATTATAAACTGAAAAACACAAATACACTGGGTGACGAAACATTTAGGTTAGATGATTGTAGTTTAAAAATGTCTAAAAAAATACCCTAACTCCCCCCTCAAATAAAAAAAATCCCCCCCATAAGAGCCACTTAAAGGGGGAATTCCTCCCCATTTTCCAAAATGAAATTCAGGCCCTGTATGTATATATATATCCATCCTGCTTTGCTTAACTGATTGTCAGTCAAGTTTTTGGGTATATTTAAAGCAGCATAGATTATTCAAAAATCTGTAAAGCAATTAGATTCATAAAAAAAAAAAAAAAAATAAAAATATATATATTTATTTTTTTTTTTTTTTTTTTTTTTTGTGTTACTACACATTTTCGGCTGGTATTTTTTTTAAATGGGCGGGTTTTACGCTGTAGTTGGGCTGGAGATCTTCAATCCAATCTGGCAACACTGTTCTTGTTAAACCGCAGTGAAGCTCAGATCTGCAGTCACGCACACGCCTGACATCCTGCTTTACATGATCACAAATCATCATCATCTCACTACTTTATGGGAGAAATGCAGCACATCTCATGTCTAAACGTACTGAAACACTCACAGTCTGACAGTCGCATACTACATACTACAGTACACACTGTTTGACTTTGACCCTTCGGCAAATCCGCATCAGCCTACAGACACAGACAGAAAAATGGCAGCCGAATATTTCGGATTACACAACACACACCCAAACCATCTGAAAACACACATCTTAATCCGCAAACATTTATAACATTCGACATTGTTTTGCTAACAAACATCTAAAGAACGTGCTTAACACGGAATCATGCGCAAACAGTTACATTGTGTTACATTGTATCAAGCGCGCGTCACGCTGAAAACACCACAAACGCGCGAAACGCTCGATATATTGTAATTTTTAAAGCAGTAAGAAAGATTGTAAATGTAAAACTTACTGGGATGTGTGTGATGTGATGTGATGATTGGAGGTCGAAAGTATGGACTAAAAATGGGGAAGTGGAGGGCGGCAGTGTGTCACGGTGGGTGTGACCCGATCCTGTCTTCTTCACATAATGAAACACATCCCTGTCCTGCAGGATTGCTTTAGTAGTTACTGCTTTTAAGAAAAAGAAAAAGATTGCTTGAATGATTCTAGGCTATTGTGGGTTTTTACCAGGGCGTTTTAAACATTGTTCCTGAAATGTATTTTTATTTTGCTACTTATTTACTAGTATGACTACTTGTTTTTAGTTTTATTTACTAAAATAAGTAATCCAAAAGTTGCTACTTTTAGTCTGTAGCAGTCATATTTCACAGCTAACAAAAATATGTTATAAGAACGTTTTGCATTAAGTTATAAAACGCTTTAAGTTAAATAACGTTCAATTTTGTACATGTTTTTTTTTCTTTGTTAAACAGACGTTAAGGTAACATTCCATTTGATCATTTTGCAAGCATTACGGGAACGTTACTTTTGAATGTTCTCTGAACGTTCTGAAACATGTAGCAACATTAGACACACTTTTAACCTAAACGTTTGGGCAAAAATTCCATGAATGATGTGTATGTTTCTGTGCTCACTTTTGAGAAGACTGTTACAGCCCAGATAACTTTAAACAAACGTTCTATTAACGTTAATGGAAGAATGTTTGTTCATAACTTTGAGAGAACCTTGCCAGAACGTTCCCTGTGAGCTGGGTTATGCCCTTGAATCAGCTTTCCAAATAGTGACAACTCTTTCAATCTGGAAAACATTTTGCTGAAAGCTATGGTTACCAGTTTTTGTAAGAATGCCAGACATCTGAAGGTATTATAGGCTAATATTTGTATACCTAATTCTTTCTGCAGAACTGTATTACATTTGGTTTTAATGAGTGCAAAAACTGGTTTGTGTGGCAGATCTATATCATATAAACCAACAGAGAAAATCCTCCTCGCATGACCAATACTGACCATGACATTGAATTTGAAAGAAGTGGCGGTTGTCCAACATAAACAAACAAACAAACATTTGCATGAAAACGACAGACGCTCCTCTTCTCTTCCAGCTGTGTCATGTGACTCACGTCTGTCCCAGCCTCTCATTCATTCAGAACAGCATGTATAGAAATAAAAGAGCCTTATGGGTTTGGCTTGAGTCTTCTTCAGAAGCATGTGTGAACAGCAGTGGAAAAACTGGTCACGTTTACGTCAGGTGCGTCCAGACATCATCACTTCCAGATAAAGGAGGGAAACACCATTTCTAAGAATTTCCAAGGCTTGCCCTGAGCTTTACAAAACATCACACAAACCATAATAAACCACAGATTTCATTTTAAAACTCTTTTAATTCTTACAATATGAAATAATAGTTCTGTTAATATGTAATGCAACTATGAAACAAGCTGTTTAGGGAAAGCAAAAACACACACCAAAAGACACACACACACACACACACACACACACACACACACACAAAAGGAGTGTCACATTTCACAAAGTTAAACTGCTTTGCTTTAAACAGCCTGTAATAGATGGACATGAACACCAGAGGGCAGGATCTGCACCCGATCACATTGAGTCAGGGTCGGATTTTAAACTGATTTAATCAAATTAAGTCACAAAATGAGTTCCATAAGTCTGACACAACAATAAAACACACTGGGATTCAAAAGGTAATTTAAATATGAAAATAAACATGAAGCTTATTAAACTCTGAAAAATAGAATAGCAGTTATCAAAAATTTAGAAAAACAGTTGCAGTTGTACACAAGTATAGTCAATTTGTGACTATACAATAAAATAATGTAATGCAAAGCAATATATTATGATTATTAAAAACATATATTTACCATGGTAGCCTACAGTTTTTGTAAGGATGCCAGACATCTGGATGTATTATAGTAGCCTATATATATAGCTTTTAGAGAACTTTATTGCAATAGGTTTTAATGAGTGCAAAAACTGGTTTGTGTGTCTGATTTATATTTTATAAAAAAACAGAGAAACTCCCCTTGTTCATTTTAAATTTATATTTAATTTGTGTTAAAATGAGTTATTATAAATATGTTATTTACTCTAGGATGTCTTGGGTTACACGCTTTACACAAAAACAATAGCCTAGAAAAGTTGAATTGTTACAGTTCATTTTAATAAATCATGAATGAAGGTTTTTTTTAATGATATCTCCGTGAAATGTAAAAAAAAGAGTCTCAGCTCATGAATATTAATTAGTGCTGACGCTCATGGGAATCCTCGAAATGGGGAAGTGCGTGTTTTTGAATATTAATTATATTATGATGACGTTTCTTGGTAACCTTCCAATGGCGACGCCACAGCTTATGAATATTCATGAGCCAACCATTGAGCACAGCAGGATTGGTAAAGTGCGGTGAGTATTGAACTTTCCTCCTCAGAGCAGCACGAGCTGTCCCGTCTTGTCATTGAGCAACAATGGGTTCAGTGTGAGCCGATAACAGTGCCAGAGCCTGCTGGCACACATCGACAAACACCACCTTTTTATTCTGAGCTGGACTGATCCATAAGGAAGATGAGTCTTTTCAACTGGGTTTATCTGTCGCTGCAGGAGTCTGAGAGAAACGCTGAGCCTGATGGGAACTACAGCATCAAGCCAAAGGAGGATCTGGACTCGCACCTCAACTCCAGCATCAGCAGCAGCTTCACTCACGAGCGCACGGAGGTGATGACGTCACCACAGCCTCACTGATGCTGTCTGTCTGCTATCTATCTATCTATCTATCTATCTATCTATCTATCTATCTAGACAGGAGTTCAGGTGAACTTATCTAGGATCAGATGTAAACTTAGTGATTTGTAAACGTCAGTGTATTGTAAAAGTCATTTATTTTTTGTTTATTGATAACTGTACATATACTGTAAAAACATGTGTTAGGCCTACTGTAACCATAATCTGTGTGTGTATGTGTGTGTGTGTGTGTGTGTGTGTGTCTTGTACATATTACTGTAAGTAGTTGTAGTGCTAACTTTAATATAATTTTTTTTTTTAAGTTAAAAAATTGGCACTTTTTTATTCCATTTTTTTTTTTAAATGTTCATTTAATATTGTTTAATCGATAGTGTAAATGAGCCAGAATCTGTACTTTATATCTTCTATGCTGGAATTTCCAAGATCTGATTATGACTGAAATTGGATACAAATTCAAAATACATCTAAATAAATAAATTGGATAGATAGATAGATAGATGGATAGATAGATGCTTATTTTTCTCTGTGTGTGTTCTTGTACAGTGCCATGATGTTTCTATGAAAGCCACATGTTCAGACAGCTGCATGTGGTCTTGCTATAGTTAGTTATAGTTACTGTAGAGAGATGAACTCAGGTCAACCTGAACAGTTCTGCTCTTTACTAAGCTGTTTAGTTACAAATTACTCTACAAAATTACTAGCTTACTGTTAATTTGGGCTCATGATAATAATGCACAGTCCTTTCAGTAACAAAAACATACCATAGTATTAACGTTTTAGACCACAGCATTGAAAGGGCGTATCATTCAACCACAATTCAACAAAGTTTGTTGCATGTATTAAAGAATTATCCATTACTTTGGTGGTTTAGAAATTGACCAGGCTGAATGGGAATGACTGAACGAAAAGCCACAGTTTTTGCTGAAGAGATTTGAAGCTTTAGTGGTCTGGCTCCACATAAGCAATGTGGGAAAACATCCAAGTTTAGCATTTTTATTATAGGTGCATTAAAAAAAATCAAGGTTCTGTCAAATAATTTACTGAGATATGAGATATGATGAATGCATATCCCTGATGCATGTGAGAATTACACATGCACATAATGTGGCATGTAATGCACATATACTTTTAAATGCTTGTCATTGCAAAACAATTATAAACAATCAAAAGCAGAAATGTATACACAAACGGAATCACTGGCAGTTTAAAGGAAGATTTTTGTGACATATTTTTATCAACAAACAACTGTCTGATACTGAGAGTAACATTTTAAACGTTTATGCTTATGTTCTATGCCCTTATTTTTCTATCTAAACAAGCAAAACTTTACAGTGACTTTACAGCATACTGACACCTACTGGTTTGGAAAAAACACTTAGTAAATACTAAATCAAATTTACATGCTAAGGGCATGTGAAATAATCTGAACTTTAAAAATATTAAAAGAAATTAACAATATGAAATAATAAAAAATAAAACCATATTCAAGAAATTCTGTTTCTTGAAATAAAATAAACAGTTACTGAAATAAAACAAAATATGAAAAACAGACTTATTTGACTTCAGCTAGTTTCCAGAGAACATTACTCATTGTCGTTTAGTTTAACTTGAAGTACTAAAATAACAAAAATACACAACAAAATTGATACAATATTAGGATTAAAGTGAAAAAATAAAATATAAAAATAAAATCTTATTCAAAATATTAACAAAAGCTATAACATTTAGAAAATGATACTAAAAACAGCACTGATTCAAGGTGTATTTGTTTGTCAGTTCATGCATTCCGTGGGAATCGAACCCATAACCTTATATTTCAAGTAGAATTAATATATGACAATGCTTATTATATTCTTTAAAATCTTATTCAGAATATTAACAAAAACTATAATATTAAATAAATAATACTAAAATAACACTGATTCAAGGTATACATTTTATCAGTTCATGCATTCCCTGGAAATCAAACCCATGACATTGTAACCACATATTATATTTCATATAGATTTTAAATATGGTAAGGCTTTTATATATTACATTGAATATTTCATAAAAGTTTAATGTGTTTTTTCTTTCTACAGACTCTGTGTAGCCATTTATATAAGGACTCGTCTCCTTACGGCTCGTTAAACAACATCGTCAAGGGCCTGAGTTTACTGACGGACAGCTTTTCTGACCTCTCGCTGACCTCTGAACCCAGAAAACCCTGCAAGAAACCTCCGCCCAACTACCTGTGCCACCTGTGCTTCAATAAAGGCCACTACGTCAAAGATTGTCCGCAGGTAAACACTCACTGCCTGTCAATCATAATGCACATTTCACAGATATTCTTTTTATTAGACAGTTTTATTAAAACCGTAACAGTGAGACATTTT